GGTATATAGGTGTAGAGTTCGTGACTTTCAGGGAGTCTTCGGGCATAAAAATATGGTGCTATTACTTCTACATGGCAAATGTCATAAGTACAGACAGTTTTTGGTTTGGTGGTGTTCTCATGACCGTTTCGTTAGCATTGAATTCTTGGGAATACCCGCTCGTTCGGAGTCCCTTGAATGGTGCTGCCTCTCGCGAGTGCGACATGACTTTAGATTAAGGGCAACAAATCATTCCTTTGACTTGATGGGGTCCGTGCGTCTATGTCCTAGCTTGAGAAATCTATGTTAAATCTCAGTGTGTCTAGTAAGCATTTGACCAATCGCATAAAAGAAACCTTCATGATCTATGAACATTGAAATTTGAGTTCTGTAAGGAAATTTTGAGTGTGCACTTTATCTACCGATGTGAGGGTGTATTTTGTAACATGTAACCCATTTTTTATTATTATTATATGATATGAGGCATCTAACTCAAATCATTATTATTCTATGATGATGTACTTAACCCCATGTATTATTATATGATATGATGTTATACTGCCAGATTCTGGGGTCACTAAGTCTAAGGGGATAACTTAACTCTAATCTTAATTCCTAAGGGTCGCTTCCACCAGACCCCCTCTGGACAGCATGTAGCTCGTTAGGTAGCGGGCAGAGTGGACTAGGCATTGGGTTAGGTTTTCCATTGACCAGATCGATAAGGGTAAAGAAGGGTGAAACCATAACATGTCTTACTTGATTTATTCCTTATCAAACATACTGGTAAAAAACATATACATGAATTGGCCTTCCTCAGAAGAACAACGGAAATGTGGTTACCCAGATGGGCCCCAAACTCTTACATTGATGGCGTGTCATCCACCTACTTATTGCATAACAATCTGTGACCACCGTACCTCAGTCGTTCCTTCTTACAATATCCCTTAACACATCAGACTGCTCCACCTGTGTGGGATCTAGTACCGTCGGTTATCATACATAGTAGCACCATCTCAACACACCTGTTACACTCCATACCTGCAAGTATGTGACTCCTTGTGACTTTTAGGTATACACAACAGGCACCTCGTTCGCACACCGCCCTCGGTGGGTAAAGACGAGGGCTTCACCTAGAGACATACCAGCACTATTTCTACGCCTGGTATTATAGGTCGCTCCAAGTGACGACCGCAGAGTTTCTCACGGTCTCCTTAGTTGTGACTATTCATTTGGAGTGGTGCGCTGAAAATCCACAGGTTCACAGTGGATTGGCATAGCGGGGAGTAGTCCCCACCTGTTGTGACGCTCAAAGGGACAATGGCGGCCGGGCGGCAAGGTACTCCGACCACATGGCACCTGAGGTGACGGTAGAACGAGGAAGACTGAGAAATAATGCCTGACGGGCGGTTATCCCACCCCTTAACACATTCCTATCACACTTATATATCCGGCAAAGCTTTAAACTGTAGTAACTTCTTTTTATCAACCTTAATTATAGGGCGGGATATAGCCCGCTAGGACACTGACCTGAGGTGACGGTAGAACGAGGAAGACTGAGGGCAGTGCCCCGCCGCTCCTCGTCACATAGGCCTACAGTTTCCAATCCTCAATTTACACTTTTGTTTCTTATGGTTCTCACCTGAACACTTTTCGGTATATTGTCACTCATGTCTTATAAACACATATTTTAATCCTAAATTACACACTAAGGTAAGGTCTTGGTTTGCTAGTGCTTGGGTAAATGCATGGGATTATAATATCAACGTGGCATCTGAGGCGGGTACATGACGCGCCTTGAAACAAAGGCTGAATGTTCATGGCGGGGGTGTATCAACTTCACTTAAAACTGTAATGAGGGATCCTCCTCTCACACATTGCACTATTTGAACACAGACATAAGATTCTCTGATCACTGTACCTGTCGTGGGTATATGTCACGTGAGGCTACGAGGTGTATTAAATTCATACCGACGCATACACGATATTTCCTTTCAAGTATAGTTTCTGGATCACTGTCAACACCTCACATAGTTCTGATACATTTATCCTTTTTCCAGATCATTGTTCTCATGTATTTTCATATGATATCTATTGGAGTTATGTTCGCTACACGCTCACAGACGTAAATAGTAAGACCTTCAAACCCTGATCCACACTTAGTCTTACAGTACACTAGTCTGGCTCAACTGGACTTTAACATTCATCTTATGCCTACCCTGAGTGATCCTTAATGCTATGAATACATACACTTAATATGATATAACTATACCTGGGTACAATACAACACATGGTCTAGGAACCTTGAGTAAGTGAGTTGTCCTTTATCAATGTTTCCCGTTTTCTGAGGTTCTACAAGCGCGGTGCATTTGAATGTTATGTAGCGTAATATGAATTAAATGGGATTTTTAGGGATGACAATGATGTGCGCAGTACAATGTATGTAACACCATTTATTATTATTATGATATGATGTATTTACCGCCATTCAGTATTATTATGACATGATGTACCTAACCCCATGTGCTATTATTTTTGGTGCTATTTTGTAATATGTATCCCAATATATTTTTTTTATGAAGGGGTGTCACATTCTAGTTGTATGTTAACAGATTTCCATTTCTTTTACCCAATCCTGACCACCGGTAGGGAATTATTTTTCTATTTTTATTGATATAATTGGTGCAATGTTTTGTATGAGCATTTATACTTTATATTAATGATTTAATGTGTATGTCACTACTTACGTGTTTTCTGAACGTTACCGCATAATGTAAATCTTGGGGAAGGGGGAAGCTTTGTAATGATCATGATAATAGCTAACCTGAAAACCTAAAGGATTCATATTAGGCTACGCTCAAACGTCCACAAAACCTTCTGAGTCCCCCAGTGGAAACGTCCCCCGTTTTCTGTTTCCCCCGTCTTTGTCTACGGGAGCTTGGAATATAATCCGCGGATTTAGTAGCAGACGCTGTATGCTGGGACCTGTTGCCATCCAACCCTTTGTAATCAATTTAATTTTGCTTTTGATAGCTGAGTCAGAGCATTGTTAGTGAAGATAATAGTAGAGAATGAAAATGAGTTCATAGTCTCAATTTCAACGTCAGAGTGTACCGTAAATTAATTCATCGAAATAGGAGTAGGTGGACTCCCTGGCCTAGTTTGAGTGAGGGCGCCGCGGGCATTTCTACCGTTAGTGAGTGCCCGTCCCTTCATCCATACAGGTATGCCATTCCACGCTGTGTTGTAATTTGCCCTTCTTTAAGTGATTTGACCCAATTAATAGTTGATTGTGCAAGTGTTACAGTAACGTAGTTGATATGCTCTGAGTGAAGTCATATTTACGTCTTTAACGTCCCCTGAAACATGGTGATGTCACCGGTTAGTGAGTGCCCGTCCCTTCATCCATACAGGTCCCTAACGCAGCCTAGGCTGTGTCTGTAGGGTGGATGTTGTATCCACAATGTCTTGTGAGATGTCCGAGGTCCAGTAGGATCTGTTACCTTCGTGAGACCCGGCCGTCAGACGCTTCAGACCACCTATAGCCCCCATAGCTGGCTCGTCTGGCCCTAACGCTCGGCCAGCGAGGTGACCCCGGATTACCAAGCCACACACCACTACCAGCCCCCATCATTGGTGGATGAGTGTCTAACTCAGTAGGGCTATTTGTGTGGTGGAATTAATCCACTGGGATCCCCAGAGTTCGTCGGAAAGTACTCCAAGGTGGCTGGACCCCATGGCTGTTGCTTGAGTATCACCCCTGACGACTGAGTGTTGTAGTGGCAGTTGCCCTGGTCTTTATGGTGCTAAGTGACTATAATAGTTGTGTTATTGAGTATGTCCACCCAGTAGGGTTGGAAGTGTTGTTGAGTATGTCCACCCAGTAGGGTTGGAAGTGTTATTATGTCCACCCAGTAATGGTGTGAGTATGTTGAGCCTGAGGGCCTAGTACTAGATTTCGTCTGTTGGTACAAACAAATTCTTTCTCGTAATTTCATATTCATGTTTAAATAAACTTTGTATTTGTATAACTGTGTCTATTATTTACCTACAGTGTTTACCGTTATTTCTTCCCTATTGCTTGATACTATCATTACATCTACCCACGAGCCTCCTATCGTCACGCTACCAATGGTAATAAGTATAAGAGTAAAAGGAATTGTTACGGGCACACAGAGGCCCTAATAAATGGTGGCAGTTCAGGCCCTCATAAATGGTGGCAGCTATGGTGATGTAATGAACATAGTATCGAGTTGGGAGGAATGACTGTGATACTGTAGTTTTTAACTGAGTTATAACCATTTCTCTGTACGGGTATTTAATAACCATTCCACTGTAACTAATGAGTATTTCAGATTGCTAATAATTTTGTCCCATATTTTTCCGAGGTACAGATTTTTGTGGTGGTTTGCAGAGAAGGTAATAAGTTCAAAGAAATACCTTGGAGTTAGGTTAGAAAAAGTCTTGTTTAAAGTAAAGGAAACCTGCAACAATAACTTGAGTGTAGAGTGTGAATAAGGTTCATTAATATTGGAAGAATTTTGATGTGTAACAATCTGCCTCAAATTTTTTTTTTCCGTTGTTAACTCAGTATTACTTACAGACAGTGAATACATGTTTGGGCCGTGGCACTAGTTGTGAAATGTTTCCATCGTGGGAGTGCCCAGTGTTTTAATTCTGAGTGCTAACAGAAGCATTGCCCTATATGCAAAGGTTAAGTGGATGCTAAATTCTGTACTTGTAATATTCTTTAGTTTATGTGTTAGGTAGGATATATATTCCATTTACTTAATATCTCAGGGCATTTTACAGTTCCTCATATTAATATTTCTATGTATATGCTATAATTTTAAAGTTTATTTTAACCAGTGTGCTGCAACCTTTAGTGATCAGTAATAACAAAAACATAACTTATAAAACCTTTATTAAAAATCATACATAATGGCATCCACATATATCAGCTAAATGTTTACAGAAAATAAAAATATAAAATGATTAGCTATAATTAACAACATTCACCAATAGACCTGTCATGACAAGACAAATGAGAAAAGAGAAAAAGCGCCGAGTCAGAGAGGAAGCTATGGCCAAGAAATCAGAACCTATTCCTTCTCCTTAGATCAGCTGGGAACCTCCTCTTCATTCTGAACTATCAGCAGCTTCACTCTGCACTTTCTGTGGAAGAAAAAAATTCACTGAAGTTCTATACTGTATAGGCTTACCCTTTCTTATAAGGCATTCTACTGACCATCAACTCACAATTCTTGGCAGAAAAAAAAATTATCCTGCAAACTTCCCAATTAATGGCACATTCAACTGTCATTTAGTTATGAAGAGTCTTAAGACTTAATGGACTCAACTTTAAAGTCTATGCTTTCATAAAATAATGAAATTTGTTCCAAAATATGAGCTTGAATTCTGAACCTTTGTGAAAGTTTTGGGCAACTTTCAACTGCTTCATAAATGGTTCTGCAGTAATGGATTTTCTTTCATCATCATTATATTGCTGTTTTACTATATACAGTTAACCCTCACTTTATGCAGTTAATGTAACCCGGAGGGTACCGCGGAAAGTGAGGAACGCGTAAAGTGAACAACATAACATATGGGATTAATTGAAATGGAGTCCAGGCCGATCCCCAAACTCCACTTTTTGACGACACATAACTGTTGCAGTAAAAATTTTATCTTAACTTTATGATGGTATGAAAAAACAAGTAATATAGAAGAGGTTAGGTTAGGAAAGATAAAGGTTAACATAGGAAAAATAAAGGAAAGGTTAGAAAACTAAAAATTAGGTGGAACACTTACGGTAGTAGAAGAGATGGGTCGGCATACGGGGGTGGAGGCTGGTTCCGAGGTAGAGGGCAGATTACTGGCCTTCATGTGAATCACCATTACTAGGTGAATCATCATCACTGTCACTTACAGTTGTCAGGGCTTCCCTGACAAATCCCTCAAAGTCAACTTCACTGTCACTATCAATGGCTTGGGCTGGCTGTGGTGGGTTGCGGGTGAAGAAATCTGTTATGCTTTGCTGACGGCTGGCGTTGATGTTGTCGTGATACACCTTGATGTACGGCTCCATAGCCTGCACCAGCCGGTTATGGAAGACTTCATAGCGGTCATCGTCATTGTCGCGGGAAAGGAAGGACTTCATCTTCTCTGCACACTCCATGGCACCCTTAATATCACTATGACTTAAATTGTGTTCTTCGGAGACTGCCGCACCTTCTTCCTCCTCTTCACTGACGTGTTCTTCTTCCAACATCTCGTCGGCAGTCACTTCAGGATTTCTGATCACCTCCAGGATGTCGTCGTTGGTGGTCTCGGAGAAGCCTGGAACTGTAACAGTCTGCGCAGCTTCTCTGGCAAGGTCCACTGCTACTGCAACATTCTGAACCTCACCAGTCACAGATTGACTCCTCCTCTCACCTGGTATTCCATGCAACACATGTCTCCATGCGTGACGAATTGTAGCAATAGACAGCTGATCCCATGACTCCACCAAGATGTCCACAGCTTTCTTGATGTTAAATACTCTCCAGAATTGTTTGAAGAGTATTTTTTGCTGTTCTAACTGTTGTTCCTCATCTTCGTCGCTCTTGCTATCGGTGGTGGTGTCACTCAGGTTACGCAACTCTTCCCTGGTGTTGGTGTAGTCGTTCAGGAGCTGGAATTTTTTTGTTGAGAATGCAGCTTTCACATTGCAAATCAACTCCTGGTCCATGGGCTGTAATATAGACGTAGTGTTGGGAGGAAGGAAGACCACTTTTACGTTGGGGTGACGATCTAACAGTAGGGGCGAGTGTCCTGGTGCGTTGTCCAGCAGCAACAAAATATTAAATGGGACATTCTGTCGCTCACAGAATTTCTTTACATCGGGAACAAAACAGTCATCAAACCAGGAGAGGGACAGTGTAGAGAACATCCATGCCTTACGTGCTGTCAGCCAGTGGACATTTAGCTTGGTCATGTCCATGCTCTTGTAGGCGTGCGGCTTGCGGGCTGTGTGGATCACCGATAACTTGAGCTTACAGGTACCGGAGGCATTGGTGGTAAACAGGACGGTGATGCGTTCCTTCTGCATTTTCCGGCCCCGAATCCTGCTGGCATTCTTCACAACGAAGGACTTGGAAGGTAGTTTTTTCCAGAAAAGACCAGATTCGTCCATGTTAAACACCTGGTCGTCACTGTACTGTCCTTCCTCCATAATCTCACGTAAAAACGGAGGAAATTCCCGAGCCGCAGCACGATCAGCACTCGCTTCTTCACCACCAATGTTTATATTGGTGATCTTGTTCCGGATCTTAAACCTCTGTAACCACCCAGAGGAAGCATTAAAGGGTTTGGGCTCTGAAGTTCCCATCTTTCGTGCCACTGCCATGTACAGTTCACGTGCGTAGTCCTTCACAGAGCGCGTGTCGACCGCCATGTTCCGTCGCGCCTGACGCACCAAGTACCTCACAAGTAATTTTTCTGTCTTGAGAAGCACCTGGTTGTGAAAATACTTGATCATAGAAGCACCTGTAGACTTTGTGATCTTCATGTGCTCCTTTATCTTGGCTGAATCCTTCTTTATAGTCCGGATCGTAGATTCGTTCACGCCATTCTGGCGCGCCAAATCAACCTGCCTTGTTCCTTTCTCCAACTCTTGGGTGATGCTATACTTCACCTCGTAGCTTAAGGAACGTCGTGTCTTCTTTGGTTTAGTGCCGCTGGGTCCAGGTAAGGAAAGGTTTCTCTCTGGGGGTGGTGGTCCGGGCGGAAGCCATTTTACGGAACAATGGATGCGCGTTTACACGGAGTGGCCTGGAGGGATGAAACTGCCGCGGCTAGGTCAAGCGTCGTCTCTCCTCCCTCCCTCCCTCCCCCGGGTGGACACGTCATAATACTTTAAGCCAATTACAGCTAGCAGCAGAGGGGGGTAGGGATGCATGGCCAATCACAGGTCTGATACGTCATATGACGTCAGTGATAACGCAACAAAGACACACACTGCGCAACCTTACCGCGCCGCTTGCCCAAGCGGAGGGAGAGGCAGGCAGGCGGGCGGGTGGGTGGCGCGTGGGGCAAATCTAAAAATAGCGTCGCGCCGGACACACTCCGCGTAATGGGGTTCACGTACCGCGTAATGTGAGCACGTGAGGTTCTGGCAAGGCACCGCGTAATGTGAGGGTTGACTGTACTGTAAATATTTCCTTACCATTTGTAGAAAGTCAATTAATTTCTTAGGATCTTGGACGGTGCTTAAGTCAACTATATCCATTGGGAGACCATACTTCCTGTAGAGAAAATATTTTTTAAATTAATTACATTTAATAGGAACCCACACTACCTGAGCACAGACATATTTGCTTTCATTCACCCATAAACAAAATACAGTACCGTACTTGTGAAGAAATAAATCCAGCATATATTTATGATCATTATCAACTGGGAAAACAACTGACGAGATAAACACAAACTACCGACTCACTTATATGGGCTAGGCTGAACTCCTGTAGCATCTGATAGGAACCGAAATTCTGGTAAATTTTCGATGAGACTGGAGCAAATAAGTTCGTCCCTTTGTGGTGAATTCTCAAGTTCCGGTTGGTAAGTCCTACGTAGGCTGGGTGTTGTTGGTATATAGGTGTAGAGTTCGTGACTTTCAGGGAGTCTTCGGGCATAAAAATATGGTGCTATTACTTCTACATGGCAAATGCCATAAGTACAGACAGTTTTTGGTTTGGTGGTGTTCTCATGAGGACCGTTTCGTTAGCATTGAATTCTTGGGAATACCCGCTCGTTCGGAGTCCCTTGAATGGTGCTGCCTCTCGCGAGTGCGACATGACTCTTTAGATTAAGGGCAACAAATCATTCCTTTGACTTGATGGGGTCCGTGCGTCTATGTCCTAGCTTGAGAAATCTATGTTAAATCTCAGTGTGTCTAGTAAGCATTTGACCAATCGCATAAAAGAAACCTTCATGATCTATGAACATTGAAATTTGAGTACTGTAAGGAAATTTTGAGTGTGCAACGAGGGTGACAATAGTGCATAGGGGTGAATTTCTAAAATTGATTAAATGGAATGGCCATTGGTCCAATACTGCGTACCCATGAAAAAAGAACACAGGCGAAATCCTGGGTCATTTGGACAATATTTAGAGGTAGCTCAAGTCAATTGAAGTTTTATCCTTTTGGCAAAAAATACGAATATTCATAATATGCCGGTTTATTTTAAAATTTACACATTGAGCAAGTTTATGTGTACACTGTACATATAAATGATTAATTCCTTTTTAAAATGAAACTGCAGTGAACACGCTTACATCAATGGGTGGGAGAGGTGTGGACAACCCATTCATTGTTTTCGCTTTTTGCTTGTAAGGTCCTGTTTTGATGTCCCTGGTTGTGACCGCCTCTGCTCTTCAACAACCTGCAGCAGATGTTGACGCTGGTCTTCACTCTTCGTGATCTTGCTGTTGAATGCCTGTATCAAGGCAATCCCTCTCTCTGCAGTGTCGTTGATGACTCTGAGACCACCCACAACTGCGACGCCAGTTTTGAAGTCTTCATCATCAGACCATGTGTCAGGTTCCTTGGACAAAAAAGAAGTCTTCATTTTGAGACTTTCAAATAGAAAGTTTGATCCTCTAGAAGCAAAGTCTGAGAGCTGCTTTGTGGGAAGGGAAGATGTGGCAGGAAGAGCAGCACGTTTTGGTGAATCCTCGGTCGCCTTCCTCTCAACGATTGCCCGAACTATGTTTGTCTTCATTGTTGCATTAACTTGTGGATCGAAGAGTGCAAGACCCACCAAGCCTTCACTGAGGTACCACAGGTGACGACCGAAGACTGTGAGACATGTTCTTGATATTTTGACGTCGTGGTACTCTGACAGGTCTTGGAGGAGCCGCAAATCATTAGCAGGAGCGGAGGATGGAACGGAGGCCGTGAACCATGCACTGACATACACCTCTAGCACAAAGAATGTGAATCGTTTCAAGCCTAATGTCTCACGAGCAGTTAGTTTAAACTGATTAGCAAAAATCAGGATCTTCATGACATAAATGAGCTTAGCCATCCACCGTGCTCGGTGAAGTGCTCCGGGCCGTCGGAGATTAAACTTGGGTAGAGCTCCATCGAGACACCTGATTGCTAGCTCCAGTACCTCACGGTAATCATCACGTGGCTGCTGCTTCTTGCCCAGATGATGTTTCCAGCAACAGATGAGGTCATCTCGTTTCTCGTACAAACTTGGAGGGAGGTCTGAGAGAGGGCTGTAGTCATCTTGACTGATGTCCTTCCACTTATGCTTGAAGCGAGAGAAGAGAGTATTATCTGGTCCAGAGGAAGGCCCCATGCATTCCACATACGCTTTCTCGGCAACAAGCTCAAGGATGTGGTGACGACACGCGAGATGCAGAAGACGGCGGCCGAGTTTCTGCTCCAGAATGACACATGCCCCCGACAAGTGCCCAGTGTTTGAAGCTGTTGTGTCAAAACTGAGTGCTGAAACATTCTCTGATATTTTCCACTCTTCCAGCGCTGCACTGACTGCTGTAGCAATGGCCTGTCCAGTCCCTGACAATAGTTTCGGGACACCAAGCAGCTTTTCAGTATTGATTCCGGAGACAAGAATGGCGATTCGGTCAACACTCGCTCCTTGTTCATCAGGAATAATTTTTCCATCCCAGTGCACAGTGAGCACTTCACTAGGTTGAAATTTTTCTTTAATTTCGTTGGCAATCCCAGAACGGTGGGTCGCTCGCGAAGTACGCACTGTCTCATAGTTTAAAACTAGTTCCATTGGGTCATGACCTAGACTAGCAGCCGTGGCACTGACGATCCGGAGAGCAGAGCGGTGACTGATCCCAGTGCGGTCCAATGTACTTGACAATTCAGGGGTGATAACTTTGAGAGTAGCACGTTTACGATTGGAAGAAGATACCACTGGTGATATCGCTAGGGAACTTGTAGATGATGACGAGCTTGATTGTGATTCTGTTTCAGACGAAGAACCCAACTCATCATATTCAAGAGCAGAACTGGCTTGATTCTGTTGTAGAGATTGCTTACTCTTGCTTTCTTCCCGACGCTTGATGGAACAAGCAATCTTTTTGTCTACTCCTGCCATTACACCTCTTCTCCCTTTTTCTCGTTGCGCTGCCAGGAATGCTCGGTCTTCTTTGATGGTCAAGAGCTGCATTGCCTTGGGGTGGGCAACATCGAAGAGGTCCTCTAACTCATCACAAAAAGTTTCCTCTTTCTTACGTTGTGTGTCTGTAGTGCGAGTGCAGTTTTTCTTAAGTCCCTTCCACATTAAAAATAGATCCACTACCTTTCGTCCAATACTCTTCTTAGTTATGGTAGGAATCCGTGCTTTATTCCAGAAACTAATAACCGATGCTGCAACTTCACTCGCAGAATCATTCACTGTTTTCTTATGTTCATTGTGACCGTGGAAAAACAGACGTAGAACATCTCTTGAAGGAAGTTGTGCACCCGTGATTTCGGTTATGTGTTGACCAATGAGCCAAACTTCAGTTTTTGAACGTGTACTCTCCATTGAACCTGAAACAAACAAAAACATTTATGTAACTTATGTTGTTACTGTTATGCAAACAACAGCACCCATAAAGCATACGGCATGCAAGATCACTTGTATAAAGTTTTTAAAGTGTTATATACCTAAATTGATGCATTGATTTTAGACAAAGACAATGGTACTAACCGTAATACTGCAACAAGAGCGACGCGCACACACCCACCGTCACGTCTCACACACAACTGATGCTACTGTACCAGTCAGACACTGGCACACAACCTCTTCCCCCTACCCAGACTGACACCCGCCTCTCCCTCCCCTCTGCATTGCCAATAGCTGCACCAGCCAAAATACTCATTACTCATTTTTAGAAAAAATGTTAGGAACAACTTTAGTTTGAATTTGCATTCTACATATACCTGCAAAGTTTCATAGTAATCGGTTCATAAATAAAGAAATTAGAAAAAATCAATAATAATTTCAGTAGTGTTAACTTCAAATGGCTTGAGCCACCTCTAAATATTGTCCAAATGACCCAGGATTTCGCCTGTGTTCTTTTTTCATGGGTACGCAGTATTGGACAAATGGCCATCTAAAAATAAAAACTTTCACTTTTTATTGTCACTCTAGTGTGCACTTTATCTACCGATGTGAGGGTGTATTTTGTAACATGTAACCCATTTTTTATTATTATTATATGATATGAGGCATCTAACTCAAATCATTATTATTCTATGATGATGTACTTAACCCCATGTATTATTATATGATATGATGTTATACTGCCAGATTCTGGGGTCACTAAGTCTAAGGGGATAACTTAACTCTAATCTTAATTCCTAAGGGTCGCTGCCACCAGACCCCCTCTGGACAGCATGTAGCTCGTTAGGTAGCGGGCAGAGCGGACTAGGCATTGGGTTAGGTTTTCCATTGACCAGATCGATAAGGGTAAAGAAGGGTGAAACCATAACATGTCTTACTTGATTTATTCCTTATCAAACATACTGGTAAAAAACATATACATGAATTGGCCTTCCTCAGAAGAACAACGGAAATGTGGTTACCCAGATGGGCCCCAGACTCTTACATTGATGGCGTGTCATCCACCTACTTATTGCATAACAATCTGTGACCACCGTACCTCAGTCGTTCCTTCTTACAATATCCCTTAACACATCAGACTGCTCCACCTGTGTGGGATCTAGTACTGTCGGTTATCATACATAGTAGCACCATCTCAACACACCTGTTACACTCCATACCTGCGAGTATGTGACTCCTTGTGACTTTTAGGTATACACAACAGGCACCTCGTTTGCACACCGCCCTCGATGGGTAAAGACGAGGGCTTCACCTAGAGACATACCAGCACTATTTCTACGCCTGGTATTATAGGTCGCTCCAAGTGACGACCGCAGAGTTTCTCACGGTCTCCTTAGTTGTGACTATTCATTTGGAGTGGTGCGCTGGAAATCCACAGGTTCACAGTGGTTTGGCATAGCGGTGAGTAGTCCCCACCTGTTGTGACGCTCAAAGGGACAACGGCGGCCGGGCGGCAAGGTACTCCGACCACATGGCACCTGAGGTGACGGTAGAACGAGGAAGACTGAGAAATAATGCCTGACGGGCGGTTATCCCACCCCTTAACACATTCCTATCACACTTATATATCCGGCAAAGCTTTAAACTGTAGTAACTTCTATTTATCAACCTTAATTATAGGGCGGGATATAGCCCGCTAGGACACTGACCTGAGGTGACGGTAGAACGTGGAAGACTGAGGGCAGTGCCCCGCCGCTCCTCGTCACATAGGCCTACAGTTTCCAATCCTCAATTTACACTTTTGTTTCTTATGGTTCTCACCTGAACACTTTTCGGTATATTGTCACTCATGTCTTATAAACACATATTTTAATCCTAAATTACACACTAAGGTAAGGTCTTGGTTTGCTAGTGCTTGGGTAAATGCCTGGGATTATAATATCAACGTGGCATCTGAGGCGGGTACATGACGCGCCTTGAAACAAAGGCTGAATGATCATGGCGGGGGTGTATCAACTTCACTTAAAAACTGTAATGAGGGATCCTCCTCTCACACATTGCACTATTTGAACACAAGACATAAGATTCTCTGATCACTGTACCTGTCGTGGGTATATGTC